TGAACACTGAATGTACAAAATTATTTATTTCCTTACACAATCAACAGTTATTTCACAGATCCACCTCGCAATTTATGCCACCAGTGTAATAGAGGTTCCCTCTTCTGCCAAATATATGCATTACCCCAATAACTCCAAGTACTGAAAGAGAAGAAAGACAGTCAATACTTCTGCAGGCAGCTTCTGCGACAGGCTCAGCCTTCAACGTGAGATAAGTTATAATATTATCACAGTTTCCTTGCCACAAAGTGTAGATAATGAAGCCCATAGCTACTATAACATTATTTCATTTTTATGTGAGGATCAAGCAAGTCTAGGAAAGAGCCACACATACAAAGTGGTACCTGAATGGTCATAAAACTAGCTTAAAATCACAATTTTAATAATTCTGTAATATTTATTTTTATTTTAAGCATAAGTAACCTATTTCATCATCATCAAACAGTCAAGGAGTTTGGTCTTATTGACCTGTTCTGGTCTCATAGTCTAAAAGCCTCTTCTGTGGTCTTCCAGGGTTTCTTTGTCCACAGTGTGTGTAGTTTTTAATAATTTGGGAAGTCTGTCTCTCTGCATTCTGTTAACATGTTGAAGCCAATTGTTTTTATATTTCAAAATCTTGTCTAAAATGGGTTTTGTTTTTAACTCTTTAAGTGTGTCTTCATTTCTTTTATAGGCCATCCAAGTGTACTTTGCAGTGCATCTCATAAATTTCATGTCAGCAGCTGTAATTCTGTTTTTGTCCTCTTTTTCATTGTCCAGTTTTCAATGCCATATAAAATTGTTGGTAGTGCCAAAGTATTATATATTTTTATTCTAGTTCGTTTTTGGACTTCTGATGGTTTAAAAATCATGCTGATAAGGCCAGTAACTTTCAGGAATTCTGAAAGTTTGATATCTATGTCTTTTTCTGCTTCATATGATAGGGAACAACCAAGGTAATTAAAAGTGTTTATTTGTACAATAATTTTGTTGTCTATTACTATTTTACTTCTTGCTGGTTCTCAGCCACAGAATGCCATTGTCTTTGTCTTTTCTGTTGAGATCGTCACCCTGTATTTATTTATTAACTTATTCATCTTATAAATTGATATTTGTAAATCTTTTCCTGAAGTTGAGATTAGTACTTGGTCAATAGCAAAAAGGATTGTTTTTAAGCTTGTATTCTTGAGATTGGAAATCCTTTTATTTTTTCTGTTTCCCAAACATGTTGTATTTCATTCAAATATACACTGAACAAAGTTGGGGATAGTGGACACCCACGATTGATTGGTGAAGATACAGATAACTTGGAATTAAATTTGATCTTTATTTTATTGTCTGTATAAATATCTAGTATTGAAGTAAGACATGTCTGAAATGAATTTCTCAGACCCAGAGCCTGTTACTGGGGGAAACATATTTGTCTATGAGTTTTCAGAACCACAAATTCGGGAATTTGGGATGGCTTTTGGTTTCAGGAAGACATGTTGAAGGAACTTTTCACCACTGCAGAGATGCAATGTGGATATATGAGTAAAGCAAAGTTTGTCCGCTACGTGCCGTAAAAGCGCTTGGGGTGAGTGGAGGTATAGCTCCTCTCTTCCTTGACCTCGGCACTAGATGGGGGCTTTACCCCCGGGAAAGGACCCCGGTACCCATTGTAGAGGAGGCTGGGTGGGCCCCAGAGGCGGGCTGGACGCCGAG